GGGCGGGGGCGGCGCAGGGCTGAGACCAGTCTTCACGTTGTCTGTGTTTTCCGTTGATTTTGGATGTTGTTCCTTTTTTTTTTAAATGGCAGCTAAAGATACATATACAGATTGCTGTTGAACTGCAGTCTTTTTTCTCAGATTATTTAGAACATGCAAGCCTGGTATTTTTAATCAAATGAAATACTTCCGAAAAGGGTTTTCTCCTCATTCTGCATTCATCATGAGTGCATTTTTAATACCAATTGTGATAGTTACAATATTCGCCAAAGCTTAAAATTTTGCAAATACTGGGATTTTACTGGTGTTCCTTTGATAAACTTTTCATGCAGAATTTGAAATTTTAACATTGGCACCTAAGATCTACTTGGAATATATGTAATATTTCAGAATCTACATTGAAGCATAAGTTCCTTGAAAACAAAACTTAATAGGTTTTCCACTTTACCAACTGGAATGCTTTTTGTTAGTTTTTCACTGCACATTCCTCATTTTTCATTGATTTAACCTGCCAATTATTTAATTTTTTTATTGTAAAGTAGTTTTTAGTATTTGCTTTTATTTTTTTTTACTTTGTTGCCTTTTCAAATTGGCATGTCTTTATTTTTCTTTCTTGATTAAAAATGTGTGTGTATGTGTGTGTTTGTGTGTGTGTGTGTGTTTTAAATCATGTTAACTTTACCAAGTGAAACCAAGCCATACTGTTTTTGAGCCAATTAAGAAAATTACAATTTGTAAAGTGTAGTATTTTAAGATGGTGAACCCAGTGAAATGACCTAGTATGCTCCAGACCACAGAAAGAAAACACGTTCAGGGTTTCATTGAAAGTTTTAATGCTATAAAAGCAAAAGGGAAGGCAGTTGACTGGTAATAAGTTTAAAAAAAAAAAAAAGAAGGAAAAAGAGAGTAGTTTTGTTTTCATGTAAGCTGTCTGGTTGTGCAGACGTTTATGAAAGGAGGTAGTCAAAGCTAAACCTGAGGGTGCGTAGTAAGTCGTAGAAGGGTTGGGGGAAGTGAACTCTGTTTGACTTGATTTACAATACTTGCGAATAATGGGTTTGAAAAGAAAATGAAGTATGTTGAAAATTTGACCATATTAGATGAATTCTGGTGAATTTATTCATACAAGGGGAAGGAGACTGGTGAACCCTTTGCTATGAAATGTTCCTGTTCAGATGAGATCATGGTCTTGGGGTGGGGGGGACTAAAAGCCCTGCGTCTTGGCGGGTTTGTGATGGTGACCAGTTCAAGTAAATGTTGACTATTATGTGAACTCTGGCCAGTGGAAATGAAAATTGAAAAAGACTGTAAATAATTAAATCCAGATGATTTCTCTGTATAAATGAATTATACAATTAAAAAAAGTCACACACATAATCAAGTTTCTTGGCTGGTGGACGTTTGGGGGACATGTGCCAGGAGATGCTGTTACAGCAGAGGAGGTGCTGGCAGGCCTCAAGGAGACGTAAGAGTCTTGAGTATTTAACACCTCTGAAATTCACTGGCAAGTGATAGAAAGATCCAGGTAGGTCAAGTTCTGTGAATCTCGTCAGACCATTCAGAACACCCCGCATCAGAGAGAGCAGCTGGTGAGGTGAGGACCGCTGAACACCTGGCTGCGTTCTGGGTGCGACAGGAAAGCCAGTGCAGAGCAACCCACTGAACTTCAGCTTTTAATTGCGGTGTCTCAGGTCTCTACCTCTGGACGTTCAGGCTCGGTGGTGTAGATTACACCAGTGGTTGTATCCCAAAAAAGCAGAAAGCAAGATTTCTGCTCATTTCCAGAGATGTTAAAAGACACAGATTCTTCCAGAGTTATTACCTTTGATCTGCATCTGAAGCTGTAGAAACAAGTGGTGGTTCAGTGTGGTTGATGGAATGATGTTTTATTGAGATTTCTGACTTCCTTGGTTGGGTTCACTCAAGGGAAAAAATAAGACCCAGAAACCGAAGAATTACATAGAATGAAGACTTCAGAAATTGCATCTGTGTTTGAGAACATTTGATGGTTTAGCCCAGTAGTTCTCAAGCCTGTTTGGGCATCAGAATCACCAGGGGTGCTCTGAAAAGAAGAAAGGTGGCTGGGCCTCACCCGCTAACTCGCTCCCCAGTCCCCACGCCTGTTTCACAGAATCAGTATCGGGGTGAGGGAGCTGATCACTTCTGTCTGTAAGCGCTCCCACTTCGGACTCCTTGGTCAGCGCTCGGTCATCTCTGCCCCGGCCGCCAGCCGGTATGTAATGGTGAGCACTGACCTGTCTCCTGTTTTCCCAGGCTGCCTTTAAACTCTTCAGAACCTGAGTTGCAGTAAGTCCAGTTTTCCTTCTAGCTTCTATCAGTGAGTGTGTCTGTATGTTTTGCACAAAGGATAGTCTATCCCTGAGGAGGTCTTTTTAAACCTAAGGCTCAGTCTCAGGCTGTGTGCACCCAGGTGGGAGGGGACTTGGGCATCTGGACTCACTCTGTGGTGGACACCAGTGTCACCAAGTCGCCCTTGCCTCTATGAGACTGCCTTGTCCTCAGCTGGCCCAGCAGGCGACTAGCTGCTTCTGCGCTGGTCGGCGCTGCCTTGTGTGGTGCATGCGTAGACCCAGCACCACACTAGTTTCCTACAGGGTAGGTATGGATCTCGTCATGAAATTAATTTTACAGACATGAGCAAATGCCTAGTTAAGGCTCCCATCAGTCAGTCTTGGTGATGGAGATGCAGAAAGACCGGAGTGGCCATCTCTTCAGTATTTCTTCCTCGTGCTCCTCATTAAAACGCCTGTCTGTCCTAGAGGTCCCCTCGCCACCTCTGCATCTCCCCCTTCTCTGCAGTCAGGCCGGGACCCTTTCTGTCCTCCATGGATGGAGGCCCAGAGCTGCCACCCTGGCCCCCTCCAGTCCCCCTTCTCTGCTGCTCAGACCACAACTGTCTGTTGAACATGACTTGGGAGGTTGGCACCAGGCCTCCCTCCATTCCCGGAAGCTGCTCCAGGCCTGGGAAAGAGGCTGTTATCTGACATCGGGCACCTTCACCAGCCACAAGGCACAGAGCCTGTCTGTCCTCTCCCCGGCAAGCTCCTCCGTAGCCCCCAGCACCGCCCGCCCACAGGCATCCTCCTCATCTTGGGCGATGTCCAGCTGTGAGCTCAGCCCTCTGCTCCGCACTCTACTGTCAGAGAAACACATGGGAGCCATGATGACCCGGGGGACGGAGGGGCGGAGGGAGGGCAGGAGGTGCCCGTGGGGTGCAGACACGGGACTGGGGCACAGGTGGGAGCCGTTGCCCCCAGCTTCCTTTCCTCTCCTCTGTCTTCTTTCCGGCGCCCGAGCTCAGTGCCCCTCTAGGGCAGGACAGGAGAGAGGGCCTTAACACCAGTCTCTGCCCCAAAGGCACGTGTGGTCTAAGACAGCCAGCAGAGGTGTGCACACGGGACCCGCTCACAAACGGGTGGACAAGGAGTCGGCCTGTGACTGTCCCATAGGCCCGAAGGAACAGTGCGTCTGCCAGGCTGCAGACGCAGCTGAAAATCACGCAGCCTCCGCGCGCCCGGGGCCCACCGGCCTGAGGCAGGGTGTGCGCGCCGCCCTCCGCACGCCTGGCCCCAGCGGGCAGCACACTTCCCCGCAACACCGGGAAACGGCACACAGGCGTGTAAGGACACACTCCACAGCCCGTCTCCGAGAGCAGCCGGGCAGAGTCCCTGAAACCATGGAAGTAAGTTTGCCTGCAGGGCCGGAGCATGAAACAGCCTGCTCCACAAGTGGAAATGGTTTCCGTCCTCACTGTCAGCTGCTCTAGCTACAGCCAGACCCTCCGGGACTGCAGCCCCCCAGGACTCTCCAACGAGTTGCTTTGTTGCAGTAATAGGCAAACAAGGGCAGCCGCTGGCATCTGCTCAACGGCACAGGTCCAAGGAGTTTCCGAACTCAGAGCAGTGAGAGAGGTGACACCCTGCCCCAGCGATGCCAGGCACCCAGCTCCCCAACCCGCCGAGCCCCCTCCTCCCTCTCCCTCTACCCGGTGACCTCCTCATCCTGAACCAGGTTCGTTTTGCCTGATGCACAGCAAGCCAGAAGGCTGGGATGCCGAGGTTTGCAGCAAAGAGAGGATTTATTTGCAAGAAGACGAGAGAAAAATATCTCAAATCCAACTGGACACCATGGACTTGATCAGATGAACAAGATGCAGCTGACTCCCAACTTTCTGGACAACAACTCGGGCAAACATCTTATTGTTTAAGGCCCTGTGCAGCTCAGAGGACAAGCAGGTCCATCCATGTTGCTGCCGCAAATGGCATTATTTTATTCTTTTTTATGGCTGAGTAGTATTCTGCTGTATAAATGTGTTACAGCTTCTTTATCCAGTCATCTGTCAATGAACGTTTAGGTTGTTTCCGTGTCTTGGCTATTGTAAATAATGCTGCTTTGAACATTGGGGTGCACGTAGCTTTTCAAATTAGAGCTTCCTCCTGGAGATCAGCCAGAAAGAGAAAGAGAAATACGTTGTATCACTCATATGTGGAATCTAAAAAAAGAAAAAGACACTAATGAATTCATATACAAAACAGAAACAGACTCACATCGTCAATAATCTTATGGTTATGGGGGTGGGTCGAGGAAAGGGGGTGGGGAAGGATAAATTGGGAGTTCCAGATTTGTGAATATTAACTAGTATATATATATATAAAAAACCAACATGTTCCTTCTGTACAGCACAGGGAACTACATTCAATATCTTGTAATAACCTGTAATGAAGAAGAACCTGTGTATGTACATGTATGACTGACACATGTTGCCGTCCCCCAGAAACTGGCACATTGTAAACTGACTGTACTTCAATTAAAAAATTAAGATTTTTAAAAAACAAAAGCCAAAAACCAAGCAACCTTGATTAGTAAAGGCAGGTGTGATGGTTTAACTACCGCTTTCCCCGGGTTTCACTCCTTCAGACCCAGCTCGGCCTCACCTGTTCTAGGCATCTGCTCTGACAGCCCCTGAGACCCCTCCCCTCGCTGGGTCCCACCGCCCAGGGACCTGGTACTGCCCCCGTGACACTTTACAGTTTGGGTTGCGCCCTCCCTTCTCAGCTGTGAGACTGTTGGACTTCGGGTGCCGTGACCCGTCCTCCCGATGCAGAGTGGGCGCTCCAACACGTTTGCTGAAGGAACCAGAAAGACCAAGTCAGTTCGGCCTCAGCAGCAGGCGCTGTTTCGCGCAGCAGCCCCGGCCACCGGCTCCTCGTCATGGGCGCGGGGCCGGAGCCACTGGCTAGTTAGCTCCCAGAGAAACTGCGAGATGATGCATGTTCATCACTGTTTTCAGCCCGGAGGTTTTGAAACTGAGGGTAACCACCAGTTAAATCCATCACACCTGTAACCTGCCTTTACCGATTAAGCTCGCGTTAATTGCCGCTAAGGAAGACACGTGTCCCCCACCCATCACGGGGCCTAACCAATAAGACGTTAGCCCGAGTTGTTTTCCAGGAGCTTGGAGTCCGCTGTGTCTAGGTCAAGCTCAAGCCGGTTAAGACCAGTTAGGACCACCCACCTCCCAGCTGGGCAACCGGGCACGCACCAGTGTCCGCTCAGAGACCTTCTGACATCAGAACGTCAAAAACACCGCTTTTGGGACCTACTAGCTCCTCCATCTCCTAAGCGAGCATCCCAGGAAAGAGCCTGCAGCTTAGTTCACACCCGCGCAGAAGTTTCTCACCTTTTTTTTATTTCCAACCACCCTGCCCCACGCGCCCCACACCTCAGACCACCGCTTCCTTATCCCACAAACACCCCAGCCCCGGGCCTCCGGGGACAGTTTGAGGCTTGTTCCTCCGTCTCCTCACTCAGCTGTCTCCTGAGAAGGCGCTGCCTCTGCTGCGGATCCGGGCGTGTCAGCACCTGGCTGGCTGCGCAGGCGAGCCTGGCTTTGTAACAGTTTTTATAGAGTTTGTCACGTAGTCCCAGTGAGTCCGAGGCCCGAGAGCTCGGCTGGGCTGGAGCTGCAGTGGGGAGGCTCGCGGGAGGGCCCCGTCCCCAGAGGCTCGTCAGTGCCCTGGGGTTAGGACCAAGCCAGAGGGAACAAGTAAGGGAATCTCAGAAAGAGGCAACGAGACTCCCCCCGGGGCCCAGAACGGGAGGAGGTCAAAGGCTGACCAAGCGTGGCTGAGGCCTGAGGCTCGCTGCTGTCCCTCCCGGAATCTGCACCCCAGGGGCCAGGGCGAGCGAGCTGACCTGGGATGCCCCGGGCTTACTCAGTCTCTCTTGTCTTGACAGTGAGGCCTGACTCGGTGGTGGACCCAGGACCTGGGCCCGGTCCTCTGGCTCCCAGCCGGGCTGCTGGGCTGCACTGCCCACACGGGTGGATGGCAAGGCTCTCATTTCTGCCTCCCTCCCTCCTTTCCTGGCTTCCCCTTTCCCCCTTCCTCCTCCCACACAGAATGTTCCTAGTTGTCTTAACCCTAGACGGGAGCTCGGTCAGACGCGGGAGCTTGGTGAGTCAGTCACACATCAGTAAGGACGACTGTGTACTAGGTACCCGCCCTCTGCATACAGCCCGGCCCTGCTGTTTGGGCGAAAACTGGAAACAGGCCTCTGTCCCGTCTGGCCCCCTCCTCCCCACCCCGGCTGTCCTGCACCGGGAGGGCCTCACACGAGCCCGGCCAGCACATCCGGGTCCTGTCCCCGCCCTCCCCACTCACCCTCCAGGCCCTCGGGCCCGGCTGTGTGAGTGGCAGCGATCCAGCCCCCAGGACAAGCCCAGACCCAGCAGTGCGTGCGGAGCCCTGTGGAGGGCACTGGGGAAGGCGGCTAGAAGTGGGTGCAGGCTCTGGCCAGCATGACCCCGTTGGCCCAGCAGGTCCCTGGACGTGAGGGGCTGGGAGAGTCCCCGGGCCCAAGGGCAGCCTTTTGCAGGGCCTGAGACCATGGCTTGTGATCCTGCTTAATCCTCAGGACGGATGCAAGAGGGAAGCTGACTCCGGGTCACACCGAGGCAGAGCCGGGCCTTGGAAGGCCGCCTTGGGGGAGTGGAGGTGGGCTCAGGAGGCCTGAGCCGCAGAAAACCCACACGTGTTTGGTTCAGGTGTCAGGGCTGCGCGGCCACCGCCCGCGAGAAGCACTGGCGACTTTCCCCCTGCAGCCCGAGCGCCTGCTGCTCCCTGAACTTCACTGTCCTAAGTGCGATGAGCCTCTGTCACTGCAGCACAAGAAAATGCCCGGGAGGCATTCTCACTGACTCTGCGGCTGGGGGTTGGAACGACCAGACCTAAACTCATCGGCCAGGCACTTTTCTCTTTTTCACTGAAATATAGTCAGTTTACAATGTTGTGTCAAGTTCTGGGGCACAGCGTGGTTCATACAAGTACGTACACATTCCTGTTCATATTCTTTTTCATAAGTTACTACAAGATATTGACTCTACTTCCCTGTGCTCGTCAGTAGGACCTTGTTTGTCTGTTTTAGATACAGTAGTGTGTATCTGCAAATCTGGAGCTCCCAATTTAGCCCTTCCTACCCCCTGCCCCCTGGTAACTATAAGTTTATGTTCTGTGTCTGTGAGTCTGTAAACAAGTTCATGTGTCTCTTTAAGATTCCGCATATGAGTGATCTCGTACGGTGTTTTTCTTTCTCTTTCCGGCTGACTTCACTTAGAATGATGATCTCCAGGTCCATCCGTGGTGCTGCAAGTGGCATGGTTTTCTTAGGCTGAACAGCACTCTTGACACTTGGGGAGCATGGCGGGTGTCCAGCAGGCTTCTCACAGACTAACAGGGACCCTCAGCTACAGAGCCCTCCTTCCCCGGGTGACTGTGACGGGGACACACGTGCTGGGCGGGTCGAGATGCTGAGGGCAGAGAGCACAGGGGGATCGGAAGTCAGGGTCCCGGAGCTCTGCTCGGTGGCAAGTGCAGGTGCGGGACAGAGCGTATGGCTGGCTGCACACCCTTCTGCAAGGGAGAAGCCTCGGGATGGATGCAGTGGACTGGTGACCAGTACCCCAGGGAACTGTGGGGACAGCCAGCTCCCCGACGCTCCCCTCCTACGTCTGAACTCCTGGGACAACGTTCCACTAATCAATAACCACGTCTCTGCAGACTTCCTCCTGGGATTCTGAAGTGTTTCACTGCTGAAATATCTGAAGGCCAGTGAAATATCTGAAGGCCACTGAAATGGCAAGCTGGATGACCAAAGCTCAAGGAATTTAGGTGAATTTAAGGGGAGTTCCCCAGCAACTTGACTACAACAGTGTGAGAAAGGACAGGTCCTCAGGGCTGTAGACATTCTAGTCGGGGTCCCCTCTCCCTGCACACTCACTACCTCTGTGCCTTGGACCGGCTTCGAGGCTGACCGACTCCCTCACCCACTCCCCACGCCACCCCCACCTACCCCTGCCCCCTGGACGGGCCAGCGGTCACTCCCCCAACAGCCTGTCCTTCGTGCTTCTGGTGGCTCTTGCATCTCATTGAGGAGACAACGTCCAGGCTGAGTGGCGTCAGCAGCCTTCCCCAGGGGACCCCTACACTCCACAACTGCCCACCCACCCCTGGGCCCCAGCAGGGCTCTTGCCACCCGGCCCTTGGAGATGGGCTTTCTCCTGCTCCAGTCTCCACAGAGACCACTTCTCAGAGCTGGGACTGCCTCCAGCCTCTGCAACCATACTCCCGCCACGCTGGGAGGGATGGCAGCAGAATAAGATGCAGAAAAGAGCCGGCAGGGACACGTCGGGAGGGTGCGCTCCCTCCAGCTCCACACCACACTTGTCTGTAGGCTTCTGTGCACACGAGACGCTTCCAGCAGTGACCTGGCCCGAGCCGCCTGCTTCAGAGGTGGGCAGGTTTACCAGGTGACCTGTCTGCTGTCCCCCGTTTGTTAGGGTCACTGTCTGACTCCTTGTACCATTCTCCACCTGCTGTTTCTGTAACCTGCACGCGCTTCACTTAGCAACTACCTTAAATGACCGTGATAAGTGGAGAGCCAGCCTCCCTTGCTTATAAACAGGAAACACTAAGTGTCCTGAGAACAAAAGGACGCACAGAAGCCCTGCCTTAGACGCCCTCGCCGAGGAAAGGGCGGTCCGCGCCCTCCTGTTACCTTTGCTGGGTGAGGTCCCAGCACCGCCTCGGGCACCACCTGTGGTGCAGGCCCCAAGCTGGGCCAACTTGACGCCCTCTCAGAGCTGCCAGTGCATTTTCCCCTCCCTCTTTTCCCTGTAACCACAAACACGAATACATCCCTCCGGTCAAAAAGCACGTGCTGAAGACCTGCTTTCTCTGCCAGCGCCAGCCCACCGGACGAGAGACCAGCACTGTCTGGGCAGCGGTAACGGGCTGTTTCCAGCATCCCTCCGCACTGGCCCCGGCAGATATGGCGGCGGTTCCTGACAGGACATCCCCTCTGCCTCACGGAACGCCCTGGGGGGGGGGCAGCGCCCCACGGGCCGGATCAGGCCCCACCCACAGTGGTAGGAGTGAAACAAGCGCGGCCGCTCAGGCGCGGGGTGCGGAAGCCCACGGGCTGTGAGCACACTCACAGGGACCCAGGACACCCCGTCGAGGCCTCGTCCCACGCCCGTGCCCCTCGTTTCATCAGGTCCGCCCTGGCTGGGACTCGACCTGCCACTTAATAAGGCCCACAGGGCAAAAGCTGTTGCTGCACCCCTTTGGCAAACGAGAAAACCGGGGCGGAGGGCTCTGCCCGAGGTCTAGCTCAAGGTCAGCGCCGAGGCCAGCTCTGCTCCTCCCGTCCGTGGTGGGCGTGAGTACGACCTCACCGCTTTTCCCTGTTCCTCTAGAGCTCGTGAAACTGAGTCCTCTGAGGCCACTGGGTACGTGGGCCTGAGCAGCTGAAGTGAGAGAAAGGGGAGAGAGCTGGGAGGAGGGGGAGGCCCGGGGCCAGGCTCTGTCCTGGTCCCCCACCACCGCCCGCAGTCTTCCCAGCGTTTCCTCTCTGTCAAGAATCATGACGCCAGTCCTTGCTGGGACACAGCCCCAGGGAGCAGCTAAGCCCCAGTGACAGGGTTGGGCCCTCCTGTCCAGGAGCACCTGCCACCCGAGCCCTTGCCTGGGGCAAACGGAGCTCCGCCTTGGGGGCAGGTGTGTGACCCAGGGCTTGGGCCCGGGTCTTCCACCGGGCTCTTTCCAGACCTCCGAGAGCAGCTGGAATCAGGAGGCCCTGCCTTTCCTTGCTCAGAAGCAGCAGGCAGAGTGAGGCTCGGGACGGAGCCCTGTGTTCAGACAAAGCCCTGGCTGTCACTGCAGGGTCCCTGGGAGGCCTCCGTCCTTCCGCGCTTGCCTCACAGCGGAGGGTCTTTAAGAACCTCAGGTCCAACAGCTCCCAGCCCTTCTCCCACCCAGTGCCCCTGTTCCTCCCCAAGTTGAGTGTTTTGTTTTTGCAGCAAACAGACCACAATTGCTGCATCATTTGTTTTCCAGATGTGCTGATGGAGGGTGGGCGGGGCCGCTCAGAGGCCAGGCAGCAGACGTCCTGGGGAGCTGTGCACCGCCTTCCTCGTCACACACTTGTGAGTGACTGCATGACACTTTCCACCTCCGTGTGTTTCGTCTCCTGTGGCTGCTGGAACATATGACCACAGACCTGGTGGCTCTGTCCTCATAGCTCCAGAGGCCAGACGTCAGAGCAAGCAGGCAGGTTGGTCCTCGATGGAGGCTCGCGGGAGAGTGCTCAGCTCCCCTCCCCAAGATTTGACTTCCATCTAAGTCAAAGGGCAGCCAGGCAGAAAGGTCGGAGCTCCGGGGTCAGTGACATTCCTGGCACCCAGAGTCCCCGAGGGGCAGAGCAGGGGTGGGGTCACCCAGCAGGCCCCCATGTGTCCCCAGACAAGGTGGCTCAGACTTGACTTGTGTGACCGGAAGCCTCCCACATGGTCTGCACAGCCCGTGCTCCCTGCCCAGTGGGCCAGGGACGGCTGGGCCTGGGGCACCGGGTGAACCCTGGTCTCCAGGGCAAGTAGGTGCTTCGTGCTCTTGGCCTCTCAGCCTTGGCCACATAGGTGCCCGGGAGCATAAAGCAGGTGGCCAAGCCTTGGGCCCCCAGGACTTTGGGGGGTTGGGACATCAGGGGGGCCCACAAACACAGCCTTTTTCAAAAGCTCTCCAGTTCTTTCATTGGCAGCCAGGACGGAGAATCCTGGCTTAGAGCAAAGGTGGGCTCAGGCTAGAAGTGCAGAAGCGGCTGGAAAGTTGGTGCCTGGCCCTGAGAGGGGCCCCTGTGTGGAAGAGGAGAGCATCCCGCTGGAAGGCGGCTGCAGGTGAGCGAGGAGCCCACACAGGCGCTCGGGCCGCTTCCCAGGTTACAGAAACTCCAGGGGGACCGTGGAGGGGAGGGGCGAGGTCATGTGTGTGTGGTGGGGTGATGATGGGGCGGGGGGGGCAGGCCCTGGCTTCCTGGATGCCCGGCTGCACCCGCTGGAGGGTCACCACCGAGCAGTCGTGGTGAAGGAGGGATCGCTCAGCCATACTCATGAGCCGAAAACTCAGAACCTGGATGAGTTTATAGAGAAAACGGGACCAGGTAATTTATCTAGGTTATTCTTGAGAATCTGCAATGTACTGTTTCTGCTGAGAACCTGCTTTTCACGACCCATCAGGAGCAGGGGAGGGGGTGCACTGTGCAGAGAGAAGCAGTGGTCTGAGTTCTTACCCACTGGCACAAGAGGCCTGACGTTTAAACCTTTGTCCTACCAGGCACACGGCCTGGAATGTCCGATTTCCCTCCTCCAAGAGGGAAGAGAACTCATGATGGTTGATCTGATGTGTTGTCTTGGCTGGGCTGGTGGGGGCCCAGGGGGCTGGCGGAACCTTCTCTCTGCGTGTGTCTGGGAGGTGTTTCCAGCAGAGATGAGCGTTTGATCTGGTGAACTGAGTAAAGCCGATTTCCGTCCCCAGTGGGGGGGGGGCATTATCCAAGGCATGGCGGGCCCCAGTGGAGCGAAAGGGAAGGGTGAACTTGCTCTCTGCTTTGGGCTGAGACGCCCACCTACCTGTGCCTGCAGACGTGGGACTCCTGGTTTGAGCCTTCAGACTCAGATCAGGATGGGACCCCGTCAGCCCCCGGATTCGATCCTCAGGCTGCAGGTTATACTGAACTCCACCCCAGCTCCCCTGAGTCTGTGCTAGCGGGGGGAGTTGGGGGTGCCAATCCTGGGACCTGTCCGCCCCCCTGACACGGGAGCCAATTTCCATATCAAACTTCCTCTTGTATCTCTGCATGGGGTTCTCCAGAGAAGCAGAACCCGCGGGGCCTGGCACAGAAGTTCTGGGACTTCCTGACCAGGCACAGACCGTTGTCACGGTTCTCAGAGGACAGGGCGTAAGGCAGGCGCCCGCTCTCTCAGCCACGGCCCTCCTTCTTCCTGTCGACTGGGACGTGGTGAAGATTTCATGCAGTTGGCATCGCGGACGCCATCTCTGCCCGGCAGGGGTGATACCTCACGGAGGAGGGAGCCCCCCCCGGCCCCCGACACCTAGTGCAGACCTGGTTTAGCGTCTCCTGAACCAGCCTCGCTCCGGGCATCCACACGCCCTGCGCCCAAGGGGTTTACCGCCTCGTGTAAATGTAGAAGAGTTTTATTTGGGGTCCTGAGGAAGGAGACTTGGCCTTGTTCACAAGGAATTGTAATACCAGACGCACCTCGGTGAGACTCGCACCGAGAGAGTCAGTCACTCCCGCCAAGAGTGTGCACGACAGCGCAGGTCCGCAGCGTGCCGGGTCTTGTTCTGGAACGCCTCCTGGAGAAGGAGGATTTGATGTGAACCTTAAAAGAGGACCTTAAGAGGCCTGTTGGAACAGATATAAAATAGGACGTAAAAGCTCCAGGAGCAATCCAGTGAAGATTTGAAACTGCTTTGACCAGAAGTGACATCATTCGTCCAGAGTTAATGTCTTGGAGGACGGGGGGAAGTTTTTACTTCAGTTGAGGTTAGTTTTGGTTTCACCGCAGCCAGTCCAGTAGACGCGTCGGTTCAGTTCTGCTCAAATGTCAGTGTGTGGTTCGTATTTCGGACACCGAGCGTTTACCAAATACCTGAAACCCTTGCAAAATATCCCTCTGAGCCAGTTAACCGTCAGGGAACGCAGCATCGGAGCCGCGGTCTGCACCGAAGTTCAGCGGGGAGCCCGCCCCACCCACAGTTCTTACCCCCTTTGTGTGGGAGGCGTGCGCAGCTTCTCCGTTGCGAAGCAAACCAGCTCTCCTTCCCCAAGATCAGGCCCAATAATGTGCTTTAAAAAAAAAAAAGCTACCAAGAACGTTCATCCCTGTCAAGTTATGTTTCAACGTTTAGGTGAAGTGACAACAACTGAAGCTGCCGAGCCACATGTCAAACGGAACGAAACTAGAATCTCAGGCTTGGCGAAACTGACTCAAAAGCTGCTAAGAGCATCTCATCTGACGTGGCTCTCATCCTTAAAGTATCCTCTTAAAAAGTTTTTGGGAAATACCAGCAAGTTGACCATTTGCAGAACTAGCCTCGGCCAGTGGAGTTTCAGAGAAGTGGCTTACGGAGAACCAGTTCCCCCGACCTGAACTTCTGGCTCCCTCTCCACTGCCCTCAGGGTCTAGACTGGGGGTGACTGGGCCCCACCCTCCGAGGTTGTCCAGACCGTCTGGAGCCAGCGTGAAGCTGTTTCTCTGTGGCTCCTGCAGGGTCAGCGCAAGGAGACCGTCCGCCCTTGGTCCCCACCTGCCCTCCCACCAGGCCCCCTCCCAGGGTGACTTCCTCGGGGGCTGGGCTGCCCAGGGGTCTCCCTGGAGAAGAGCCGTACAGGTGGGGCGAGGCCCTCGGAGCCCCAAAGTCCATCCCAGGTCCTCCTCTCATCCGAGACCCAGAGTGAGTCACTTCCTCTCCCAGACAGCACAGCTCCCCGTCCTGTTCCCGGGACAATAGATAAAGAAGTTTCTGCTGGTTTCTTCTTGCCTTGGGGCAACAGCGCAGCAGGGTTAAGCCTCAAAGCTCTCCTCACAAACCCCTGGCAGACCCCCGTCTCCCTGGGCTGCTGGTGGCGTCTCTCCTTCCTTCTGTAAGTTCTAACCTTCCATGAACTGCATGCAGTAGAAGACGTCACACTGACAAAACCACGGAGAATAGAATAGCGTGCGTGTAGCCACCAGCCAGCCTGGAAAACAGCACAGTGCGGCATCAGCCGGGGGCCCCCTGCGCCGGCCGGCCCCCCGCCCCAGAGGGAGCGGCCGTCTTGAACGTGGAGTTCACTGTTCTCAGGTTTGAGTCTCATCATTCTTCAGAATCAGAAAAATAGAGAATTTTTTTTGAAGGAAAGATTCAGTTTTACACACTCAGTAGACCTGAGCCGTGGTTCTCGGACGCTTGGGCCTCGTGGGGCAGGAAAAGGTCAAAATGAACGTGGGGCACGCGTCGGATTCCCCGTGTTTCAGAGGCAGTACGTGAAAGAGCACTCACAAAACTCGTCTGCCACCAGTCACATCGTGAAAGGACACTTAATACAGAAAGTAAAGAAAGCATAGTTTCAGAATTTAAATCTGAATACATTCAGTTTCGTCCAAAACTTTTTCTCCTTTCCACACAGAGCCTGGAGACCTTCATCTGGGACCAGCTTGGCCCTTAGGAATCTGCACTTTAGAAACTCAGACTGTGTGACCTGTGTCCCTAAGAGGATGGGGACTTTCTGGAGGGGGCCACCCCCATCCCGGGCACAGCCACCCTGCCCCCTTCAGACCACACACCAGATGGGCAGCAGCCTCTGTCCCCCACCTCCTCATCTCCACGTCTTACCTCCACCAGGTGCCCCACCTGCCTCCCCAACCCACCCCCTCCTGCCCGCCCTCAGGGTCCGGGAACTTCTGTCTTCTGTCTCCCAGTCCTTAAACCCAGGACCTCCCCTCACCGTGTCCAGCCTCAGGGGACCGCGGCCAGACCCTGAGGATGGGGCTGGGATGACCGGGGCAGCTGTGTGGGGTTCCAGGACACTGAGTGACTCACTGAGTGTGTCACCAAATAGAAAAACTTCATCGATGCCGCAGCAATGCCTCCATGTCCCGCCTCCCCCTGCACAGGGACGAACCAGGCAGCTCTGTCACCCTCCACCCACGTGCCGGAACAAGGGAGCAGTGTAGTAACTATTTTGCAATAACCCCGCAGGCGATCTGGGTCTGCCTCTCCCCACCCTGAGCTGAGAACCATCGCCTCGGCACAAGCTGGGATACAGTTCAGGAAACACCCAGCGATACCGCAAACCCAAGCGGATGTCAGGGTGGGCGGGGGGCGGCTGGCGCACCCTCGTCTCCCATCCCCACCTCCCCGACTCTCCCCAGCTCCTCCGCAGGGTGCACACGCAGCGTGGAAGCCGCTTCAGAGCACCCCCAACGGTGGGGCCCTGAGGGGTCGCAGCCAAGAGGGTCTGGGCAGCAGGGGGTCCGGGTCCCGGGGGCTCCTTCCTCCCTGAGCCGTGTCCCCTGCATGTGCGGCCCCCTCCCCTTCACCCGTCCCAGCACCTCTGGTCCCTCGGCTTCCTGACTGTCCTGCCTCCAGGCGATGCGGACCTGAGCCTCCGGTGCCCCCACCTTTGCTCAGCATGTTGCTCCGTGAGACCCCGTGTCTCAGGTATGAGGCACGCTCGTGTGCACAGCACACACACACCCCCACACACCCCTTCTTCCAGCTTGAGTCTGAAGAACAGCTGGCGACATGAAAGGACGATAGACTGTGTGCGGTGCAGGTGGTGCCCCCACCTGAGCTTGGAGCCTCCCCCATTCACCCTCCCCCCATACCCCCTCCCCCTCCCCCCCATAGCCCTCCCCCTCCCCTCCTCATCCATCAGAGGGTGGACTGCTCCAGGTGGGTCCCCCACTAGGGCTGAGCAGGAGAGATGGAGTCTCAACCCCAAAAGCCACCACTTGGGGCCCTCAGGTGTCCCCCATTCAAGCACAGTGCACCCCCCTTGGAGCTCACACCCCTTTTTATTCCAGCCACCACGATGCTTTAGGGTTCCTCACAACAGCCCTGTGAGGTAGGGAGCACACCCATTCCATGAGCACTTGAAGTCTCACTGGGGAGAGTGCAGAACCCAGGCTGGGGAGGGGCCCAGCACCCCACCCACGACCCAGACGGCCCCTCTGCGTCCCCCCCGGAAGCAGGGCCTGGGCGGCGGCAGGAGGAGGCGGCCTCACTTCTGGGCCAGGATGTGCAGGAACTCCTCGTAATCCACCTGCCCGTCTTGGTCCACGTCGGCCTCCCGGATCATGACGTCCAGCTCCTCCAGGGACAGCGTCACCCCAAGCTTGGCCGTGGCCTGCTTGAGCTCGTCCACGCTGATGCGGCCGTTGCCATCCAGGTCAAAGGCACGGAAGGCCTCCCGCAGGTGGCCCTTGCCGCCCAAGGCCTTCATCTTGGCCATCGCCACCAGGAACTCCTGGAAGTTGATGGCGCTGTCCCCGTCCGTGTCCATCTGGGAGATGAACTCCTTCAGCATGGCTTCTGACGGGGCCTGGTCCAGGGCCCGCATCACAGCACCCAGCTCCTCCATGTTGACGACACCGTCCCTGTTCTTGTCAACACTGTCAAAGGCCATCTTGAACTCGGCCACCTGCTCCTCGGACAGCTGCTCAGCCATATCGCTCACACCTGCTGCGGGGCTTCTGCGCTCACTGCCCACCCGCCAGAAGGGCTCACGTCAGGGCTGGACCGGTGGCGGCGCAAGGCTGCGTCTGCCGGAGGACGGAGCTCAGGTGTCAGCCTTCCCACGGGCCGGGAGCCCCCTCCTTTTCTGCAGATCCGAACGGAAGGAGGAGGAAGGTTCCCCACCCACCCCAAGTCCTCAGGCAAAATTCTCCTCCCAGGGAGGAACAGACTAGCTGAGGACAAGAAATGCAGGAACTGGAGAGGCAGGCCCGCCCAGGAGGAGCCTGAGGGAACCCGCGAGGGGCGGCCTCACCCAGCCCCGACCGCAGACCCCGCGCCCCAGAAGCTCTTGCCCACGTGGCTCTCACAGAGACCCCGGCTGATGGGGGGCACCCAATAGGGCTCCCCCAGTTTTAGGGACGGGCTGGGGAGGGGAGGGGAGCCTCCCTCAGCAGACACAGCACGCAGGGTTGGGGGCTGTGTCCAGCACTCATCCTGCAGGGCAGGGCTGGCGGGGGGCAGATGGTGGTGGAAGGTGATGGAACGTAGTGGGGTTCTCCCCGGATCCTCTGGTCCATCTCGCATCGGGGTGGCCAGCAGGTGTTAGATGGGGATGCGGCTGGCTGCCTGTCTGCCTTTGCCCTCCAGAAAGCGGGAGCCTATTGCAGGCAGGGCCTGGCGCACAGGTGGTGCTGAGAATTGTTGAACGAATGTTTGAAGTGTGACCTCAGAGGTGACGGCAGGACTTATGTCCCCGCAGAATACTTCTCTTCCAGCCCCCCAATTCCTCTGATTCCATCCTGTCTGTAAGTGCGGGTTTCCCTGAAGAGACACCGCAAAGGAGGGGGCCGTTCATCTGCACTCCCAGAGGAGTCCTGCCTGAGGGGTGGGGGGAGGCTGAGGGGCATGGGGCCGGAGCAGGCCAGCCCCGGAGATGCTTGGGGGTGGGAGGACCTGGAAAGGGGTGGCTGAAACTGCGAACTTGGCCTGACTCTTGGGTTTACGAAGTCAGCTGTCAGCACAGAAACCCAGCCCGGACTGTCTCACCTCTGCCCGCTGCCCTGAGTAGCAGAGTTTAGACCAAGAGCTCGTGCCTCGGGGACCGGCCCCTCAGAAGTGACACCCAAGGCTGGGAGGGGCCGTTTGCCTTGAGGCCCCACAGTGACTTCCTCAAGCAAATCCCCTCTCTGTCCCTATAAGTTCCCATGACTCCCCCCACCTCCACCTCGGTGGAAGGAGCAAGCTTCCCTCCTCTTGAGAAATGTCATCGGCTCCAAGCCTCCTGGTTCAGCCCATCAGACAGACCTGGGAGTCTGTACTTCCCTAGACAGCAGCCAGGCAAACACCTCCCCCTGCCCCCAGCCCCGCACACCCGCCCCCGGCCACCCGGAGGCCTGGCTGGAGACAGACACATGCTCCTGTAAAGGCATCTTGAAGCTGGAAGAGTACAGAGACCTCAATACATAATGAGCAATCAATTTCTCCATGAAGCTGACAGCAGCATCGGGTGGAGAACGTGGGTCCAGCCCGGAGACCAGCACCGGGAAGCAGCTGCTTCGTAAGCGAGGTGGGAAGGGCGGGGCTCCTAATCGCTGGATCAACCCAGCCCCTTGACTTGGTTTTTAGCAGAATATTTGAAGATCTAAGTCTACATCTTTTAAATGTCCTCCTCTTATTAGCAGGACTTGATTTAAAAGCCAAGATGCTTAATATTCCCTCATTACCTGGTATGAAATACGACGTTGCAAACGGCGAGCTCTCCAGACAGGAGACTTGAGCTCTCAGGTGTAACTCTGCCCCTGACGTGGGAACTTAACTTGTGCGTCCTTATCTTCACCTGCAAACACGGTAACAGGTCCACCGCATCTGGTCAGGGCCCTTAGGATCAAAGATGAAGGAGCTCTGTTCAGCGGCAGTGTTGCTGTTCTGTGACACACGTCCTGTTTGCACTCGGTGTAAACCAGCACCCAAGGAAGTGCCCACCGGGGGGAACCTGGCTCAGTTTCGCTCTGATTCCTTCCTTGATTGATGACGCTGTCTGCCCAGAGGTTTGTCACAGACACAGCCCCGGGGCCTGGGCAGATGCAGCCCCGCACGGAGCAGGGGCTTCTGTTTGAAAGAGCATCCAGCCCCGGGAGAGGAGGTAACCTTGTGTTCTCTCCACGTGGAGGTGGGGTCTCGAGGTCACACGCGGTGCCCACGACCACCCGGAGCTCAGGGGAGAGCCTGACCGCCGGTCAAGCCCGTCTGCGTCCTCTCTGCCGTTCCTCCCTGACGCAGGCTTTCTCTCTTTCTCTCTTCAGGGTGGATCAGCCCTGACATCGCTCTTGCCTCCTCCCGCCCAGCCTCTGCCGAAGTGGGCAAGGGGTCTGCGGCACTGGGCCAGCAGCAGGGATGGCCACTCAAGAGTGTCCGTGGAACTGAGGCTGGGAAAACGGGGAAGGCTCGACCTTCTGGCCAAAACCTAGTTAAGCTCCTTTCTTCCCCTAGTTAAGGTCCCACCCAGGCTGTGGAGGGAGTGGAGGGACCAGAGATGCTTCGTGATTGGGGCACCTCTTACAGGCCACACCTGCTGCGAGGCTCCCCCAGGTAAGGGGTGAGGGTGTCCCTCTGGGGAGGAGCCTGAGTTTGGAGGAGGCCACTTGCTGGGTGTCCCACGTGCACAGGAGGGGAGAGAAGGATGCACTGGAGGCCACAGTCTCGCTGCGTGGAGCTCGTCGTGGTGCGTGGTCTGCAGGGAGAGGATGGGGGGGCCGGGCACAGGGTGGCCGTGCTGAGGGGGTCCTAGGTCTGCCGAGGAAGGAGGACAGAGAGGGTGCGGATTTGGCAGGGGAGCTCGAGCCTTTTGGGGTCACCTGTCAGAGGTCGGCTCTCCCGCCCAGGCCTCATTCCCTCCCCTGCCCCAGTTACTTTATCTCCCCGGGATGCTCGTCTCCTCCGAGTGAGAGCAGCCCTGGTCCTAGGGGAGGAGGGCGTCCCCTTCCTGGAGGAGGGTGACACCCCTGTAGATGTTACATAAAGTGTGAACCCCTCTAAGGTGGCCGGTCAGTCCATAGGGGACCCATCATGTGCGGACAGCATCAAGCAGTTGCCATGAGCGTGTGATACGTGTGTGACTGTGAGTATGGGTGTGATGTGCAGGCATTACTGTGTGTGTGTGATACATGTATGCACGTGTGTGATATGCATGTGCACGTGTGTGACTGTGCGTGTGGGCATGTGATTCACGTGTGTTGGGAGGAGGTGTGCAATGCCAGGCCCGCAGAGCCAGTGTGAGGCTCGGGTGTCCCAGGAGCCTAACCTGGGAGCAGACCCCCGCGTTTCCACTGCTGTTGGGTTCTGTGGGCCAAACACTGGGGAACCTGCCACATGGGTCTTGGGGGTGCCTCTGGCTCCCCCAACTTGCAGGGACCTGCTTGTCCCTCCCCTAGAGCCAGTCCCCCCAGGGACGGCCCTGCCCGGACCTTGCCTGTGTGGGAATCGCGGCTGCCCTCGCAGGGTGAGCAGTAGACATGGCGAGATCGTGCGGCCTGCACCCAAGCCCCGAGGTGCCCGTGTCCTGAATGTCAAGTCCCCGCCGCACCCCTGCCCTTGGAGGCCGTGCAACAGGTGGTTCATCTCTGGCTTTGGAACCGGCAGCTGTGGGGCCAAGCTGGCTCCCCACTCTTGGGGCGGGTGACACCGCCCCCTTTTAAGGGAGACCACACAGCGCCTGCTTTACAGGCTGCCGGGGGATTACGTGAGCGGTGGGAAACCGCAGAGCAGACCTGATGGATAAACATCATTTTCCAGGAAATGACCAGAAGTTGGGGGTCACCTGTTCACTTCAGGCCCCCGTCCAAGCAGAGGTGGGGCTGCTGGGGGCAGACATCACATCATGTGTCTGTGTGTCTGGGACTCTGTGCTCACAGCCGTTCGCCAGCCAGGGCTGCGGTCAGGGCTGCTGTGTTTTCAGGGCCCACAGTTTGCCTGGACTTGTCAGGAGGCTGGCGGGACACAGGTGACTCTGTCCACAGTCCACGCACGTGCCCGGCCCCGGTAACGATGGACTTGTTATCCAGCACGTTCTGCAAGCAGTGATTTCGTCAGTGTCTCCCCAGGGGGCTGACCCTTAGCCCTGTAAGCACGGGGCCTCTAACTGTGACCACCTTGGAGGGAAGTCTCTCTAAGGCGCGTCACATGCCTCACCTCCCATCGTTGTAGAGCTAGGCGGAGGGGAACGCCAGTGGCCAGAGGCAATGCGTGGGCCGGGCAGCCTGTCGCATTGCGCCCGCCCAGGGGGCCTCAGGCAGGCGTGCCTGCCAGCCGCGCGGTGCCGTCCCCCTTGGCTGGTTTCCCTCGCCGGTCATGCCCAGCACCTGCCCTGGGGCCGGCGGCCCCGCTTCGCGGGTCTTCCCTCCACCTCTCAGACGTCACTGGCGCCACTTACAGAAGAGCCCAAAGGAGAGAGCATAGTGGGCCCAGCAAAACGAGGTGGCGCCCGGCTGCAGACCACGTGGCGCTGCCCCCCACCAACCCGGCTTGTCCTCAGGAGCACCTGCACGGCTGAGCGGGGGCGCCGGCTGAAGCCGGGTCAGGTCCTGGAACTGGGGCGGCAGGACCGGCTCCACCCCAGCCCGACAAGCTCATCGCCCCACCCGGGCGGGGGCCGCGCTGCTGCCTCGTTACCTGAGGGGGGAGGCGGACCAGCCCCGACGCCCCTGCCCCCGGGGAGCTGTCGGAGCTGTTTCCGCAGAGCCATCCTGTGCTCCAGGGCGGCCGGAGGAGTGGACAAAAGGAGGGCTGTGACCCTGCATCTGAGGGCTCCCATCCCGGGCGGGTCCCAGAGGCAGAGCTGGGGTCCTGCCCAAGGTCTGCAGTCGGAATGACGGGCACCGAAGTGTTCGAACAAGAGGTGAACTGAGGGCAGAGCCTGGAATGGCCTGGCGGCCCAGGGCAGGAAGACCATCCCCAAAACAGCCTCCATCACCCCCCTCCCTGCAGGCCACCGCTCACTCTCCTGGGATGAGGCGGCTTGCCAGCCTCTGGGACTGGACACCAGTCCCCTCCAGGCCTGTCTCAGGCCATGTTCTGCCATCACCGCAGAGTCACCTCAGCCTGGAAGCCAGTCTGCCTCCGGGGAGTCACCCGCCCTCCTCCACACACACTTGGAGCCCGGCCTCCAGCCTCTGCTGTCAGAGGTGGGGGGGTCTGTCTAATCTCCGTCTCCCAACCAGTACGTCGTCCTCATCACGAGGTGGGTGCGGGGAATGCGTCCAGAGAATGAAGGATCAGTGACTGGGCCGCCTTCACTGCCGTCCTTTGAATGGGTTACGGTTGGTTTTGCCACCTCACGCCCCAGATGAAGCTTCGAGGGGTCAAGGAGGTGGACTAAGAAACACCAGGTTAACAGCCGAGTCGAGACCAAGACTACGCGGTCCAGTTCCCGGCCCACGTCGCGCCTGAGGCCAGGACCTTGGCCAGTGTCCCCGCTCCCCCAGCGCCGCCCCTCCGCCGGCCGAGGCACCGCGTCGGTGGTCTGTGAACAAACCCGGCGCCTCCCGCCGTCACGGCATCTCCCACCGGCGAAATGACTGGGTCGAGGAGAAGACACGTGCTTTCCTGCTACACAAACAGCCCCTCCTCTCATGTGCAAGGCACGCCAGGGTCACCTAGGAACGGCCCTTCCCTCCCGTTCCTG